GTTGTTATGCTTTGATAGAAGCCTCAAACTTCAATTTTTCAAACCAGAATCAGTTTCTAACTATAGGTGGGGAGTTAAAAGAGATTGACATACGTGTCTATGCCAAGGGTAATCAAAGGGGGTGAATAGGATAAGTGGATGGGATGGAAGGAACTCGAACAGCCTGTTAACGAAGGGACGAACTAGTTGGGCAGATGGTAGGTGAAAAATGCTCTCACTAGCCAAAAAATCATCCCCACGGACAAGTAATATGAGCATTTATAGCACAGTGCCCGGGCAGGTTCGGCTGCCCAAGGGGTTGCCCGCCGCGAGCTCCTTATCACTTGTGCGTACCCACAACTGCCTCGACCGCAACGATATCAGTGGTCGTTAACACGAGTCATGCGTCGCAACATTAACTTTGCAGATGTAATATTTCCCTAACACAACCTAGACGTGGCCCTGAGGAAGGTGCAACAACCAAGGCGAGAGCGGGCTCCCAAGGTCTATGACCGCAACTGGTCACCATAGGACAATGACCTCGAGAGAGCCATGTCCGTGATGCCTCCAGCGTGCTCCTACCCGGGGTTCTTTCCCTCTCTAGACCCTTCCTCGAGATCTTTGTCGAGGTGCCTAATAGAGGAAACTCACATAGTTTCTNGCCCGCCGCGAGCTCCTTATCACTTGTGCGTACCCACAACTGCCTCGACCGCAACGATATCAGTGGTCGTTAACACGAGTCATGCGTCGCAACATTAACTTGGCAGATGTAATATTTCCCTAACGCAACCTAGACGTGGCCCTGAGGAAGGTGCAACAACCAAAGCGAGAGCGGGCTCCCAAGGTCTATGACCGCAACTGGTCACCATAGGACAACGACCTCGAGAGAGCCATGTCCGTGATGCCTCCAGCGTGCTCCTATCCGGGGTTCTTTCCCTCTCTAGACCCTTCCTCGAGATCTTTGTCGAGGTGCCTAATAGAGGAAACTCACATAGTTTCTGTTCTTCAGCCACCAATCCACATGTTCCATCATCCCATATACTGATTCGGACCAATAACCTCAGTTATCTTAGGAGTCTCTCTGGATCCTAGTCAAGCACATCCAAGTGGGCAGTGAGCCATACACTGAGAGGCCTGCTTGAGCAGACTAAACCTTCGAGACCCTACCTCTGGTCAAGGTCGACAATCGTGTTCATCCGCCCCTATTGCTCAATTCTCCCTTGAGGATGACCTTACTCCCATGTCCCTAGGCGAGGACATCTTTTAGTTCAGTGGGCCAGTCGAAAAACGACATTCAATAAGTTGAGGATATCATTCCCGCAGTAGGGGAGGCGAGTCTCGCCGAGGTTGCCCCCACACTTTTGCGATTTCATTTCTGTCTAGCCTTGGTGAAAGGTCCATTTTGCCACTTCCAATGCGATGGAGATGTATCTTGCCCTAATACGGTATTGTACTTGAGGACGTTGCGCCAAGGAGAGTCGCACTAGGGGCGTCGCGCCCAGGGGTGTTGCGCTTGTCACTGTTATTTATATTGGTCCAGCTGAATTTTGTCGGACGTCATTTCCACATCAACTGATAATTGTTGTCACTTGTCTTGTTATGGTAAAGACATNAGAATACGGAAGACCTATAAAATTTTTGTATTCCTATATTACACTACCAATATATATGTTAATTCCAAAAAATTACAATCCAAAAATCTAAAAATTNTTTTAAAAAATGGTAAGGATTAAAAATACTTTTACCATTACATCTTTGAAAATTTAAAGGTAAAATAGTAATATAACAATATTAGGGGTAGAAAGCAGATAAATCTAAAAATCAAGGGGGGGTCACTCTATTTTATTCACAAAACTAAAAAAGTGTGTATTTTTGTGCCTCTAAGTGAATATTAAATGTAACAGTGACATCATGTCACTATTGATGATATAGTATCACCAACCAATAATAAAATCTCAAGTGGGTAAGGTGTAGGGGTGTTCAAATTTTGATTCTCGTAAATTCCGACCTTACCTTACTCAACTCTATTGATCGATTACTCGGAAGAATTAGGTAGATCAATGAAATTTTTTTTGATATTTCATAAAAAATTGAATAAGAATACGGAAGACCTATAAAATTTTTGTATTCCTATATTACACTACCAATATATATTTTAATTCCAAAAAATTACAATCCAAAAATCTAAAAATCNTCTTGCAATGGTTCTAAAAATCAATGCTAATAAGGTTGATCATATTGTTCAAGAATCAAATAAGATTGACTGTGGTTGAAAGGCTCGCTTTCTCGTTGATCTTGACCTTCAGTTCTTTTGTTTCTCAGCTTGTCAGGTTTTACACAAGAATTGGGTTCAAGGTTGTGCATGAGGTAACTGGTTCCTCAGTTGGAGACCTTGCCCACATGTTAGTCTGGGGAGGTATCGGGACTCGAATGGATGCTGATGTCGAAGAGCTTCTAGTAAAATGGTGTCGCAGGTTTAAATCTCAGAGTTGATTTCAGAGTAGCAATCAATTTGTTGTCTACATAATGAACTTCTTACTCTGTGGCTCTTCTAGCATGCATCACTGCACAGTTACCAAGCAAGAGGTGAATACTGTGTCACAAGGACCCTGACCTGCTGTATTTGATGCTCATACTGGTTCAGAACTGGGCGAAGGGATGCCGGTCATGTGGTGCTAAACTTCTCAAACCAAGCACGAGGAGCTTGTTTTAGACCAATATACAAATATACATTTCGTTCCCCCGTATTTTTCTTTTTGAGGTAGTTCGTTCCCCCTTCCAATGATTTTGTGTATTAAACTACTCAATTGTATTGTCCTTTTTGTTGTCCTTGAGGGCAGATCTTAGTGCAAGAGTACGATTGCTCTGTTATGACTTGAGCATCGTGTTTTTGAGTTGCAAAAATAACCTTTGTGCATACGGGAAAAGGCTACGCATATGTAGTTCAAATCCTACACTATGGATGACTGGGTTGCCATCTTTTGGTTACAGGCTGCAAGTTTTGGACCTCTGTATAGCATTGTGATGCGAAGAAGATTTTTCTGGAAACCTCTTGGTGATTGCAAGCCACTTGAGGCTTGTAGTTCAAGAAAANTGGGTTGCCATCTTTTGATTACAGGCTGCAAGTTTTGGACCTCTGTATAGCATTGTGATGCGAAGAAGATTTTTCTGGAAATTTGTGGAAGTTATGGACCTCTGTATGCAACTTCTTGAGAATTCAAATTTGTGGAAGTTATAATACTCATATTCTAACCAGCTATTTTGAGTATAATGATTCGGTTTTTTTTTTCTCGTGCAGAGTATGTTCAATAGTACTCTTTAAAATAGAGAGTATCTTTTTTGAAATAAAGAACATATTTGACAAAAAGTTAAATAGATAGTAAATTTGTGTATATCACTCTAATAGGACTATTTATTCTTATTAATTTATTTACTCTTTTTTAGTATTGAGATATATTTTTATCTTGAATGTCTTAGATGAAAAGACAAAAATATATTTTTTCTATTTCAAAAAAAAAAAAAAATAGAGTAGAGAATCCGTTTGACTATTGGATCTTTAAAGGAGGGTGTAATCTCACTATTAAAGATTTGAGTATGAATTTTAATCTCCCTTAATTTAAGTAATAAATGAATCTCCCTTCATTTGATATAGGTATGTGTCTAGTATTGAAGAAAGTTTTTAAGAGGTTTTTTTTTTTTTTTTTATCAAAATTTAAATTTAATTTTAAAAAATGGTAAGGATTAGAAATACTCTTACCATTACATCTTTGAAAATTTAAAGGTAAAATAGTAATATAACAATATTAGGGGTAGAAAGCAGATAAATCTAAAAATCAAGGGGGGGTCACTCTATTTTATTCACAAAACTAAAAAAGTGTGTATTTTTGTGCCTCTAAGTGAATATTAAATGTAACAGTGACATCATGTCACTATTGATGATATAGTATCACCAACCAATAATAAAATCTCAAGTGGGTAAGGTGTAGGGGTGTTCAAATTTTGATTCTCGTAAATTCCGACCTTACCTTACTCAACTCTATTGATCGATTACTCGGAAGAATTAGGTAGATCAATGAAATTTTTTTTGATATTTCATAAAAAATTGAATAAGAATACGGAAGACCTATAAAATTTTTGTATTCCTATATTACACTACCAATATATATTTTAATTCCAAAAAATTACAATCCAAAAATCTAAAAATTCTAATATTTTATTGATGTTTATTGCTTTCTTATATGTGATTTATTAATGTTTATGATTTTCTTATATATGATTTATTAATGTTTTATGGTTTTCTTGTAATTGTTTACATATTATCGAATTTATTGTGTTTTTTTTAGATTTATTGGTTTATTGTGTTAATTAATTAGTATAGATTACTTAATTAAAATTTTAAAATGATCAAAAAATTAATAATTAAAAAATATGTGTTCACCCGATTTGCTACCCAATTATTTTATATAAAATTTGAGTAAGAATAATACACTTGATCGGGTAGAGTAAACCAATAAAAAATTCTTCCTTAAAGTATCGAATAAAAAGATAAAATATCATAATTTTTACACGTAAGGTTGGATGAACACCCCACTTAAACTTATATGGAGGAAGAATGAAAAATTATTTGCTTATAAACTAAGTTGATTATTAATTTTTATAGAATCTATTTTTTTATTTATTTTAATATTATTAATAAGAATACCCCATCAAATTGCGACGCAAAATTAGCATCGTAAAGAATATTTTCTCGCCTTCTAATTAAGGGTGTCAAATTTATCGTGTTTGTGTGAGTCACATGTCATGTTATTCGTATCGTGTTATTATTATTTGTGTCGTGTTCATATGAAGACTCACAAAAAAAAATCTATTTAGTGTGTCTTAAATATTTAATATTAATGTAAACTATTTATTATTATGTGTATTTAATAATTATATTAATTTTATAATTGTTTTGGTTGGTGTCGGATTCGGGTTAGAGAATTACACCCCTACTCCTACTTCTAATGGTACACTATGAAAGTATGAATAGCCCTAGTAGGAGCCGAGTTATCTTTCTTGAAGCCCCAAGACCGCAGGACTTTGCCCTGAGAATGTCTCGACGAGAAGGTCGTGATTCCGATTCCAATCGACGAGAAGGTCGCGATTCCGATTCCAAACGCCATCGTTCCAGGTTCGATCAAGAACCCAGGTACCAAGCCTCTCTCATAATTCTTTTCAAGTTTCTTTTTTCCCATTTTGTTTCTGCACCAATTAATTTTATGTGCAGATAAGAACTCCATTTTTCGTCCTAGACAAGAAACATTTTAAGTGTTTCGTTGTATATATATGTGTATGTTCTGTATATCATCTTTCAGATTAAAAATGGATTTTAATTTTAATTGGTTAGAATGATTGTGGACGAATCACTAGTTTTAGGTTTGTTTTTGTTTGAATATGAGTGTGTTCATCTGAAGATATGTAAGGCAATGAGGGGATTTTGTGTTTGTTTTATGTTTCTTCGTTTGACCGATTCGGAAACCCACATACTAAATTAGGGTTTATACGCGTCAGATTGTTGATTTGAGTGGACGTTGAAACAAACTTCTCTGCATTGGGTTATTTTAATACTAGTGGTGAATTGAAAAGAATGAGTTTTGGATATGAATTCATGTGTGAGAAGTTTATTATTTTACAGATGACGCAAAGGCTCAAGTTAAATTATATAGAATAACTTTTTATTTTGTTTTGAAAACTTCAATTTTTCACTTCTGAAACGTGTGAGAGAGAGAGAGAGCAGTAGATCTGTGTCGAACTTTTCGGGCTTTCTAAATGTTGTTTTGATGGTAATTGCAAAAGAACTAGACGGGTAATAATCATTTCTATGAAATGATTGTTTTCCTACCACGAAGATAATGGGATCAGTTAATTGTTGGTTCTGGAATCTCAATCTTTGAATCAACTCGTATGTATTTTAAGTGTTATGTTTACACTTTAACAGATAACCTTGGAGCTTCCCAGATAACACTTCACAGGTTATCTGTGTTGGTTAACAGATAACTTAGAAGCTTCAAAGAAAACTGAGATATCATGCCAAAAAATGCAATTTGTTGCACCAACTTGTTAGATGGAGTACTTCTTAGGTTTGAGAAGGATTAAATTGCGTGAGAACAAATTTTTTTTCTTTTATCGCTGTTTACAACTGAAAATAGCTCCAATGTTTGTAACATGGTTCTTGCCAGTCCTAAGAGATCTAGGAGGGACGGTAAACCAGTGACTGAGAGACCATTCCCACCTAACAGCCTAAATTTGGATGGTGGAGACCAGTCAGCTCGGGATCAAAAGCACCGCCGTCGGCTGCAAGATGCTTTGCCTCTTGAGGCCCCAGTAGCACCTGATCCTAAGGTACAAACTGGAGCATTGAATAAGGAAACTGACAACAAAACTAATGGAGACCGTGATGGAGCTAAACAATCTTCTGAATCTACTGAAGTTCCTCGATCTCGATCCTTTTTTCAGGTTTTTTGTCAATTCATGAAGATATCATAATGTCCATACTACCTCATCCTTGCTTATATATTGGTGAACCTGTTTTGATGTCTCTATTACCTTTGGATCCCACATATTTTTGGATTTTTTTCTTCTTCACTGACTTCTTTGAACATATTGGAGAATTTTAATCACTTCACCCCTGCAATTTTATGCTCATTATGATCTTCTTGTCTGAAAAACAAGCACTTTTTATTCTCAAATGTATGTTTGCTAGGAACTATCAACATCAGAGTCATTTGATAATTAGCAGCCAATCACTTTCTGTTGGCAATGTTTATCTGCTCTTCAGCAATTGGGATAAATCACTTTTAGTATTGTGTATTAGGTTAATTGACTTTTTCCTGCAATTTTATGTGACTTTATTAACGTATTATTTTCAAAATAAACTACTAAGCTAATGACCTTTGAAGAGCACAAAAAGTTCTGTAAGATTAGTATATGGAACTGTTTTAGCCATTCTTTTGATATCCTCATTAGAGACCATATCTCGTAAAAGTCTCAACTTGAACGGCCACCCTCTAATTACTAGACCAACCAACTGTCAAACAGTGTATCTTAGCTTTCTTCAGGATTTAGCCTGAACTGTATGGCAGGTTCCCATGTGCCGTGTGCCTGCTTTGTTCTCAACTCTTCTCGCCTTTGTCAACAAATGGTAGTCGTTAATAGGTAACATATACTTAGATATAAAACACAGAAAACTATTCCATCCTTTCCTCATACACAAAAATGATGTTTTAAACCCAGGAACTCAATATGATTTTTACACCTTGAGTGACATCTTTCAGCATGGATTTTGTATGTTGAGGGCAGACAGTCAACACAGTAATCCCTTTTTTTTTTGTCCATCTTTTTGTGTTATTTTATAAGAGGCAACACCTATACTAGAACAGAAAACAAGTCAAAAAAACTTGTGAAGTTGTAACTCATTGGTTAGCTTAATGAAATCTTCGCATGAATTTTTTCTAGTGAAGAAAGAACTTTATTGATTTATACATGATATCGTTAATTTTTTGGATGATGTAGGGAACAAATGAAGTACTCATATGCATATCTGAACTTTTACCCAGAACCCTTGGTCGATATGTCTCTTGAGTTTTAATTATTTGGTTGCTAGTTGGCCCTTTCAAAATTTTTAATTGGACTGATATAGTTGAATTCTTGTTCAACCCGGTGCCTGCAAGTGCCTCCTCATATATAACAATCTTAGGCATGCCTCTCTGTCTTATAACAGCATGATGACCGTGGTAGTGCACGGCAAGTTGGTCGAAGCTTCAGTCGCAGGGCAGGTACTGGTGAGTTCCCACATCTTAGTTTTTCTATTAGTCTTAACATTATTATGGCAGATGTGTACCTGTGTGTATTTTTAGTTTCGGTGGAGGGATAATAAGATTCACTTATATGTTAATTTACGAGAATTTTCACATAGGAAAGTGCGCAATCAGTTTTGTTGATTTGGAATTTTTTCTGAATTACCATAAGTTTGAATAAAAGCTATTTCTTTTCAAAATTCGGTACTCCATACTGTTACTTCTAGCATTTAGCTTTCCACTTTTGTCTTATGTCATGTTTCTTCCCTTGGTCACAGGTGCCACCTGTTCTGTCCATCATACTTTTACAATATATGAATTTATCGTATACTTGAATGTTTTGAGTTTGTTTATCCACCCAAGTTACGTATTTTGTATGAGTGAATGTGATTTGCTACTGACCAAAAGTAAAGCAAAAATCCAAGTTGGGATTGTGCTATTATTTTTTCTGTTAAATATATTGTTTTTTGAGCTGCATCAAAGAATACCAGCCAAAGAAAAAGAGAAAAAAAAAGAGAGGGGGGGGGGGGG